GGGACCTGGTCCCCTCTTTCCCAGGGCCCCTGCCCCAGGAGTGCCTATGCGACCTCCGACTGTCCAGGACCCGTGCCTCGGGTGGGGAGCTCGGTCCCCGGAGGATCTGCATCTCCCGTGCTGCCCGCATCGGCCTCGGGGACTTCGCTGCGCCCCAGAGTGGCTACGGGGCTGGGGCGGCTCCAAGGCCAGCCTCTCCGGAGCCAGCAAGACGGAGACAGTGGCCGGCGGCCACGTGAGCGGATTAGGGTGCCCCTATGCCTGGTCATGTCTGAGTGCCACATGACGGGCAGGCGCGGTGTCCCATGGCCGCGGGGGTGGGCCCGGCGCCCGCACAGGTGGGTCCCCAGGGCTCCGGTGGGGGCGGGGCGGTCCTCCCTCGCCTGCCAGGCCGGCAGCCTCACACCTGCCCCAGCGCCTGCCCTGCCCCGTCCTCCGCCCCGGGTCTCCGCACCCTCCCGCTCCCCTCCTGCTCCCCCTCCTGCTCCCCTCCCGCTCCCCTCCTGCTCCCCCTCCCTTTCCCCTCCCGCTCCCCCTCCCACGGTTCCTGGGTAACACCTGGGGCTCTCTGGCTCCTGGGCCCTGGCGCATGCTGTCCCCTCCTCCTGGAGCCCCCTTCCCTGTGCTCCCCCAGGCCCCTCTGATCTGCCCTCGGGTCTCCCCTAACCTGCCGCCCTGACCAGGAAGCCCAGGCCGCCATCCTGAACGGAACACAAGGCCCGTTGCCCATGTCCTACGCTGCCCAGTGCCCTGGAACTCAAGCCTCCCCCAGTTCTGTTCCCTCCTTCCCTCCCTGCTTCATGAAACGGCTAAGTCAGGGACACATTCACCCCGTGGGCACATGTTCACACACACACAGGCACACATGTACACACGCTCATTTTCGGGAGAGACGGGTGAGGAGAGGCCTGTGGGCACAGGGGGCTGCGGACAGCGGGACCGTGGGCAGCAGCTGAGGAGCAAAAGGGACCTCCCTCCCCGAAGGGCCGGAGCCACGGGCAGCAGGAGCCCGGAGGAGGCAGCGCAGGCCTCACCGGAACCTGAGCTCCTGGGGAGCAGGGAGCCCCCGGCCCCGGGGGCTCAGGAGCAGGAAAAGGAGGTGGGCCCTGCACAGGGTGAGCCCCTCGGGGGTCCCGCCAGCCCTCAAGGCGCAGGCTTGGCCAAGGTCACCGCAAGGCCCGAGGGCGGTGCCCCCACCAGGCCGCTCCCCGTTTTGGGGCCACGCATTCATTGTCGCCGCTTGAGTGGCTGCTCCCACAGCCCCCCGGCTGGCTGCCAGCTCCCGGCCGGCTCCCGTCTCGTGCCAGAGCCCGCATGCCTCCGACAAGGCCTGGCGGCTCCTCGGCCCAGTCCCTGCGCGTGACGCCCGCGCCCAGCCCGCGCCCCGGAGGAGCGGGCGCCTGCTCAGGCCGTCCCCCAGCCCGCTGCCTGCAGAGCAGCCCAGCCCAGCGCCGGGCCTCTGGGGAGGAGGGGGCGGGGGCCTGGCCTGGGCAGAGAGCCCCCAGCCCGGGCAGCGTGCAGGGTGGGCTCGGGCGGGTGCTGTGCTGACCTGGGCTGAGAGCAGGTGGGTGGGCAGGCGGGTGGGCAGGAGGACGTGACTGCGGCCTGGCTGAGGGCATGGGAGAGGCAGGCGGGGGTGGGGGCTGGAAAGATGGAGCCCCTGGGGAGGCAGCAGAGCGGCAGGGAGGGTGGCCCGGGGAGGGAAGGGGCTGGTATGCTGTGGGGAGAGGAGGGAGCAGGAGTGACAGGCAGGGCTACTCAGACACCAGCTGAGACTGCCTGTGTCCCGGGCAATAGGGAGCCATTGCAGGTGGTGGAGGAGGGGAAGGCCGGGGGGCAGGGGGCAGAGGTGGACAGAGGGGTAACCGGGTTACGGCTGAGACGCCTGGGTGGGCTGGCCAGGGGGTTGGAGGGGGGGAGGCGGGGCGTGGGGATGTCCGCGGCAGGAGGCCGAGCCACAGGCCCGTGGTCAGCTTTCTGGCGGTCCACAGGGCGCGGCCATGGGGTGGCCCCCGGAGGCGCAGACTGGAGCGGGGCCCGGAGGGAGCGGACACAGAGGAAGCCGGCGGGGAGCGGGGGGCGGGGGGGGCGGCCAAGGAGGAGGGGTCGCTCGGCCACACAGAGGTCACACGGCTTGGCCTCGAGTGAGGGGAACAAGAGGAGGGGAGCACGGGGGCAGGTGGCAGCCCGGCTGGAAGGTTTGCCTCTGGGGGCTCATTGGAGGGGGCTCTAGGGGGCCCCCAGAAGCAGAGCCTGCAACGCAGATGCTGCAGGAGCTCAGGGCATGAGGACACCGACAGCCCCCCTGGAGGCAGGGGAGCCCATTACCCCCTCACCCAGCGGTGACCCCGTCCCTGGCCAGGCCCCGGGACCACACCCACTGCCCGTCCGCCCAGCGAGGCGCCGAGGATTCCAGAGAGGAGGGGGGCTTGAACCCAGCCCCCGAGGCCGGGCCGGCGGCTCAGCCGGGCCTGGGGGTGCTCGCAGCTGCCTCCCCGCCGGAGCCGCGGGGCCGGGCCAGGCCGGCAGCGGGCACCTGGCGGCGCTGGATGGGCGGGCAGCCCCCCTCCCCGCTGGCACCTGGAGGATGAGCTGCACTTGGGTGGTGGGGCCCCAGGGAGGGGCGGGCCCCTCGCCGGCCGTGCCAGGTGCCACCCACGGCTGCTCACCGCAGAGGCCCCGGCGCTTCCCTGCGCCACCCCAGCCCGTGCCCGCGTACCAAGCCCGGCAGAGCACTGCCTGGCCCGGGGCCCAGCAGCTGTGGCGCTTGGCTCTGGGGCCGGAAAGAACGCCGTGCCCACACGTTCCCAGGCCCACCTGTGCCCTCGCCTGGGGCCTGAGAGAAGGTGCCCTCATGCCCGGCGCTGCACCCCAAGGCACCCTCCCCCAGCCCCCGACGGCGGGCGCTGTGTGCCGGCCCCACCTCCGCAGTCAGCAGCGGTTTCGGGGGCTGCACAGACGGGGAGGCCCGGGCCCAGCAGAGCGGCCCTGAGTGGCAGGAGGCCCCACGGCTGGATTCTAACCCAGGCCAGACCTGGGAGTCACACGTCCCCTCCGCCCCTCCCGGGCCTCAGTCTCCTTGCCTGTAGAATGGGTGCGACGGAGCCTCCCGGGGCTGGGGGGACATGGAACTGCCCCTGCCCAGGGGATTGGAGGAGCACCCCTCCCCCCCGAAGTCCTGACTCCACCTGCACATCTACCCACCCCGCCTCCCACTCTCAGACCCTATGCCACACACGTGTGACCACCTGTGGCCACGTTTCCCTCTGCCTGAAACCCCTTCCCCGCTCAGGGCCGTGGCGACATTCACGCCACAGCTCCTGAGGGCCGGGCCCCGTTCCCACGGAGCCCTCCAGCCCCTGGTGGGATCCTCAACTGTCACCCGGGCTCTGGGAACAGCACTGCAGACCCGGGGAGTGGAGGGTGGAGATGAGGTCCTGGGCGCGCACCGCCGCCCAGCAGCAGGGAGCGCCTCCAACCACTGCCCCACCCTGCCCCCCACCAGCCTGCCCCGCTCACAGCCCACAGCCCACAGCCCACAGCCCACAGCCCGGTGCGAGGACCCTCCTCACTCCCATGGGCTGGCTCCCAGCGACGCCTCCCTCGTCCCAGACAGGGCAGGGTCCCTGGGGGCGGGCCGGCGTGGAGAAAGGAGGTGCTGTGGCAGAGTCGTGGGGGCGGGGCCGGGCCTGGGGGTCAGTGGGGGGCGGCCTGGCGGTCAGTGGGGGCGGAGCCTGGCCTGGCGGTCAGGGGGCGGGGCCGGGCCTGGCGGTCAGTGGGGGCGGAGCCTGGCCTGGCGGTCAGGGGGCGGGGCCGGGCCTGGCGGTCAGTGGGGGCGGGGCTGGGCCTGGTGGTCAGTGGGGGGTGGCTTGGCGGTCAGTGGGGGGCGGCCTGGCCTGGTGGTCAGTGGGGGCGGGGCCTGGCGGTCAGTGGGGGCCTGGCCTGGCGGTCAGTGGGGGCGGGGCCTGGCCTGGCGGTCAGTGGGGGGGCGGGGCCTGGCCTGGCGGTCAGTGGGGACGGGGCTTGGCGGTCAGGGGGCGGGGCCTGGCCTGGCAGTCAGTGGGGACGGGGCCTGGCCTGGCGGTCAGTGGGGGCCTGGCGGTCAGTGGGGGCGGGGCCTGGCCTGGCAGTCAGTGGGGGGGAGGGGCCTGGCCTGGCGGTCAGTGGGGGCCTGGCCTGGCGGTCAGTGGGGGCCTGGCCTGGCAGTCAGTGGGGGGGCGGGGCCTGGCCTGGCGGTCAGTGGGGGCCTGGCCTGGCGGTCAGTGGGGGGGCGGGGCCTGGCCTGGCGGTCAGTGGGGGCGGGGCCTGGCCTGGCGGTCAGTGGGGGTTGGGGCCTGGCCTGGCGGTCAGTGGGGGTTGGGGCCTGGCCTGGCGGTCAGTGGGGACGGGGCTTGGCGGTCGGTGGGCGGCCTGGCCTGGCGGTCAGTGGGGACGGGGCTTGGCGGTCGGTGGGGGCGGGGCCTGGCGGTCAGTGGGGGCGGAGCCTGGCCTGGCAGTCAGTGGGGGGGCGGGGCCTGGCCTGGCGGTCAGTGGGGGTTGGGGCCTGGCCTGGCGGTCAGTGGGGGCGGGGCCTGGCCTGGCGGTCAGTGGGGGCGGGGCCTGGCCTGGCGGTCAGTGGGGGTTGGGGCCTGGCCTGGCGGTCAGTGGGGGTTGGGGCCTGGCCTGGCGGTCAGTGGGGACGGGGCTTGGCGGTCGGTGGGCGGCCTGGCCTGGCGGTCAGTGGGGACGGGGCTTGGCGGTCGGTGGGGGCGGGGCCTGGCGGTCAGTGGGGGCGGAGCCTGGCCTGGCAGTCAGTGGGGGGGCGGGGCCTGGCCTGGCGGTCAGTGGGGGTTGGGGCCTGGCCTGGCGGTCAGTGGGGGCGGGGCCTGGCCTGGCGGTCAGTGGGGACGGGGCTTGGCGGTCGGTGGGGGCGGGGCCTGGCGGTCAGGGGGCGGGGCCTGGCCTGGCCCCTCCCCGAAGCCGGTGCCGGCCCGTGAGCCCGGCGGCGGCGGCGCCCTTACCTACTCGGAGCTCCTGCCCGAAGACCGTCTTCTCGCCGAGGGCGGAGCAGTTCCAGCGGCCGAAGCGGAACTGGTACTGGCACTCGTTGATGCCCATCTGCGCCCCCTCCCCGATCACGATGATGGCATCGGGCCGGCTCTGGCAGATGGCGCGCTGCCGAGGGGCCAACCCGGGGATCTTGTTGCAGATGATGTTGGCCCCGAGGGCCACGACGGACGACAGCGCTCTGCGGGGAGAGGACAGGGCAGGTGAGCCACGGCCCGCTGACGCACCCCTGCCCCAGCCTTCCTCACAGGGACTGGGACGGCAGAACGTGGAGTCCGGCCCCAGGAACCCGGAGGCCACGGACAGGGAGCCTGGGGCCAGCGGCTGGACACTTGGGAAGCACCATCCCCTCGGGTCTGCCCACGACAGCCCAGCAGCACGCCCCAATCCCGGCCTGGCCCGGGGTGCTGGGCGGCAGCTGTGTCAGAGCTCAGAGCAGTCCCTGCGGGCGCCCTGGCACGTTCTCCCAGCATCCCCGGGAGCTGGACGGAGGCGGGAGGGCACTGCCAGGCCCCAGCTCTGGCCTCGAGCTGTTATCGGCGTGACTGTGTCTGACAAAGTGAAAGGCCATCACATGAGGTTAGACATGTTCCTTCACTGTGCAACCACCGCCTCCCGGAGCTCCCAGGCGCGGCCACAGCCCTCCTCCCGCCCCAGCGCCCGGTTCCCCGGCTCTGCCCTGCGGACGCCGCAGAGACACACGCACACCCGCCGTGCCTGAGCCTGGCTCCTCCTCGGAGCGCGTGTTCCCAGGGGTCGTGACGGGGAGCAGGTGTCTGTGGTTCCGTTCTCTTTAAGGGGCAGGAGCGTCCCAGCCTCTGGAGAGATGCCCTCTGTCCCCCTTTGGCACAGGGGGGCGGCCCCGCCTCCCGCCGGGGGACGGGGCTGCTGCGGACGAGGGCCGGGGGCTAGAGTGATCCCTCCCTCTCGCCCGTTCCCTGGGGCTCCCGCCAGGAGGGGAACTGCCGGTCATCCGGGCGTTGGTTTGGCGTTTCGGGGAACCGCCAGCTGTCGTCCGGGCGGGGGGCGGGGCGCGGTCTCCGCAGAGGCGACAGCTGGTTTCGGATGCTGCTCAGTGAGGCCGGAAGGAGGGAGAGGGGGAGCCCCGGGGCCCCCACCGCGATGCCCTCGGCCGTGGCCCTTCCCTGAGAGCCAGCCGGCGTCCCCCGGGGCGGCCGGCACCCACCGCCACCTGGGAAAGTCCCCGGAGGCCGAGCCCACAGCACGTGCTGGGACCCGGAGCCAGGCCGACACCCAATCCCCACCGCCCGCCCGCCCGCCCGCTAATCTGGCCCGGAACCCCCCGGTCTCCCACGGGCACAATGGGCAGTGGGAGGCTGGCGTGGGGGAAGCTCTGGGCTCCAGGCGCTGGAATCCGGGGAATTCGCCCGGAGTAACTGTAGATCCTCCGAAAGCCGAGCCTGGGAACTGAGACGATGGGAACCCTGCGGGCACAGCCTCCACCACTGGTCACAGCCACCGGGGTCCCGCAGCCGCCGCCCACGCCCGCCGCCCCAGCACGCCAGGCGGCCCAGGCGGAGAGGAACCCGGGGCAGAAAGGGGTCGGCCGGGCCTGCGGGGAGACTCCTGTGGACTCGGGTGGATGCTGGGGGTGAAACGGAGCGTGGCCCACCCGCCCCGCAGCCACAACGCCCACACCAACCACGCACTCCGGGCCACAGCCCAGCCCCAGTGCCAGGCTCCGCCGCCCGGGGTTGGGGTCTCTCCCGGAAGCTCGCTGCCTTTCTCTGTGGCAGAGGTTCCCGCCCTTCCAGGCCACGTGCAAGGCCCCCGGGGGGCAGCCCCTCCGCCCGGCACAGTTTCCCACCGAGAAGGCGGGTCCATTCCGAGCCGCACCCGGGGCCTCGGCTGCCCGGCGCCACCACCCATATCACAGGTGAACACGGGGGCAGCCGGCGGCCTGCGAGCGAGGGGCTGTGAGCACGGCGCCCACCAGGGAACGACGTCAGAGCCGTGGCCGGGCCCGGGGCACCTGCCAGCGTCGCCTGCTCAGCAGGACGGAACACCGTGCTGGCGCGGCTGTGGGACCCTCGAGCTGGCGGAGCGTGAGACGGTGAGGCCCAGGCCCTGGACTCCACACTTCGGGGCGCAGCCACAGCGTGGAAGGTGGGTTCCAGCAGAACCCTGAGCACACGCGTTCACAGCTGCGATACACATCAGCCCAGAGGCGGGACCACCCCCATGTCCGTCATCATACGAATGAACAAACAGAATGTGGCCCCAGCCGGTGTGGCCCAGTGGACAGAGCATGGGCCTGCAGACAGAAGGATCCGGGTTCAATTCTAGTCAAAGGCACATCCCTCGGTTGCAGGCTCCTCCCCAGCCCGGGCCCGGGTCAGGACGCATGCAGGAGGCAGCCGATTGATGTGTCTCTCTCACACCGATGTTTCTCTCTGTCTCTCCCTCTCTCTCCCACTCTCCCTAAAATCAGTGGAAACTTATCCTCGGGTTAGGATAAAAAAAACAAATAGAATGTGGTCTGCTGTGCTGTGGAATGGGATGCCACTAGGCCACGGAGAGGAAGGGGTGCCGGCCCACGCCACGGGGATGCACCACAGAAACCACCTTCGCTCCGCCTGCAGCCACCTTTCTGCCACGCTGCCCAGAGGCCCAGAGAGGCCGGATCAGCGGGGAACGCAGGTGTCACACCCTGCCCCCGGCGCTTGGCATCTGCAAATGCAAATTAACCCACGGTGTTTGTTGGGTTAATTTGCATGCTCACTGCTGATTGGCCGGTGGGTGTTGCGAAAGCATGGTCAATTTGTATCTTTCTCTTTTATTAGTGTAGATACTGGTGTATATAAATACACATATATACAGGCACCGCTCAAGAGTCACAAGAGCATGAATAATCAGATACGATTGGTACCTCAGAAATAACTTCAAAACAGTCTTCCTTAGACTTAGAGTTTCGTCCCCAACAACTTTAGATTCTGCTGCTCTGAGCCTCGGCCTCTCCTGGCAGGGAGAGCCCGGCCATAACCATGTCACTGGGTGCAGCCTGGAGCTGAGAGAGGCCAGGGGACCCGCCGAAGCCACACAGCCGGGCCGGGAGCTGTCTCCGCTGCCAGAGGCAGGTGGCCGCAGCGCTGTGGCCCCAGGCACTGCGCGTAGTAGGTGCCTTACAAACACGAGAGGTCGCTAGGAATGGAAGCCACACCCCTTCCCATCCCAGGACAGCTGACCTCCCCGCACGGCGGGAGTCCTCCGGGCGCTCCTGAGCTCGCCCGGGGCTGTGGACGGTCACTGCTGGCCTTGGAGGCCGGAGCTGCTGCGGCCGCCATCACCCTCTCCCCACAGCCCCATGCCCGGGGCTGGCCACTCCCTCGCAGGCAGGCCTGGCCCTGCCACACCCGGGACTGTGGGCAAGTCCTGGGTGAACCCACGCTCTTCCTTCCGCCTGGAAGGGAGGGACGGCTGATAAGGCCCGGCTGGCTGTCCTCAGGGAGCCATTGGCGTGGGATGGGAATAAAAATACCTCACAACCAGATAGCCGGTTGCCGGGTGGAGGCGGGCGGAGCAGGCGCATCCTGGGGTGACTGGCCTCAGGGTGCGGCACGCCCTGGAGGGCTCATCACGCCCCCCGCGAGGGGACTGGCTCTCCCCCAAAGTCGGGAGAACCTCGGGGCCCCTCCCGCCTGCGGCTGCCCGAGCTGCTGGCCAGGACACCCGAGGGCCGGGCACCCGGGGAGGCAGCCGCTGACGTTTCCGTGGAAAATTCTGCTCTGGGCTCACCCCTGCCCTGCTCAGGGCCTCGGGGCACGGAGGGGACACAACTAAACGTCCAGAAATGTCCCTCGATCCCGGCCAGGGCCAGTCGGAGAAGAGGTTCAAGGTTCGGGGGCCGGCAGACAAGCAGCAGAGACAGCTCTCGGCCCGGCTGTGTGGCTTCGGCGGGTCCCCTGGCCTCTCTCAGCTCCAGGCTGCACCCAGTGACATGGTTATGGCAGTGACATGGTTATGGCAGGACACCAGTCTCAGGCCGAAGGTGGTGAGGCCAGCAGAGGGCCTGGCGCGGCTTCGAGTGGGCTTCCCGCAAGGAGGGGATAACAGAAGGAAGGAAGATGCCAAAAACCGGTTTGGCTCAGTGGATAGAGCGTCGGTCTGCGGACTGAAAGGTCCCAGGTTCGATTCCGGTCAAGGGCATGTACCTGGGTTGCGGGCACATCCCCGGTAGGAGGTGTGCAGGAGGCAGCTGGTCGATGATTCTCTCTCATCGATGTTTCTAGCTCTCTGTCCCTCTCTCTACCTCTCTGTGATGAATCAATAAAATATATATTTTTTAAAAAAATGAAGGAAGATTCCCAAAGCGTCCCAGTGGGGGAGGGGCTATGCCAGGTGACAGGTGGGTGCAGAGTGGTGGCAGGGACATGAGCTGGCCCCGCCTCCCCACCTGGCAGCCGGGAAAGTGTGAGAGCATATGCCCCACCGGCCACGTGGCCTGAGACCTGGTTCTGCCTCTTCTGAGCTGTGAGGCCTCAGGCAAGTTTCTGACCCTCTGTGCCTCAGTTTCCCCATCTATGAAATGGAGCAGACGCGGGCCTGTCGCCCCACATTGCTGCCGGAGGACGTGATTGGAAGGACTCAGCACTCTGCAGCCGGCCTGTGGCCAGGGGTCACGGTGGGGTCACATTCGCCCTCGGGGCCTGAGCCGGGGGCCCATTGCTGAGGTCATTCCGTGAGCCATGTGGGGGCCGAGGAGCGTCCATCGGCAGCTCTGGAGCCAGCGGTGCCTCCAAGCTGTCCACGTGGGATCCACTCCCGACCCGCATCTAGCTCCAGATGGAGGGCACACCCTGAGGAGGTGAGCTCTGTGTCACCACAGCCACACAAGCCGGAACCGCCCTGCAGGGTCACCCCGGAGAAGGGCAGATACACTGTGACACGTCCACACCGTGGGGACATGTTCACACCGTGGGCACGACCACACCGTGGGAGCACGTTCACACTGTGGGGACATGTTCACACCGTGGGCACGTCCACACCGTGGGGACACGTCCACACCGTGGGGACATGTTCACACCGTGACACATTCACACCGTGGGGGCACGTTCACACTGTGACACGTTCACACCGTGGGGACATGTTCACACCGTGACACGTTCGCACCGTGGGAGCACGTTCACACCGTGGGGACATGTTCACACCGTGACACGTTCG